AAATGCCATTGGAATTTAACCTTTTCTTTTTGGGGCCTGCAAATGGGACATAGTACCTTTAAGGTTTGTGACTTACTCTGTTTCCATTACAGCTACTGGGCATTTGTACTGTGCGGTTGAGAAGAGGCAGATGTCTGCGTACTGCCGGACCGACACCCTAATCTTCTTCACCGTTCGGTTTGAATTGTTGGCTATGGTGACGTTAACCTCAATGCTTTCTCCATGGTAGTACATCTAGGCAAACAGAAAAACAAATTAACACATGATTATGTTACAATTCATGTAATTTCCACACCTCTTTAACACCATTTTGATAATTTCAAAACTTCCCCCAGGTATCGTATAATTTTTAAATGACATTAATAGAGAATATACCTGAACTAAATTTCCATGCTAACATTATTTAAAATAACATGGACATGGAGGTACAGTGTCAGAGTTACCAAACATGTTACATCACTCCTGTATTATTCAAACTGTAAGTGTGAAAGGTTGATTTTTACTGGGTTAATAGTTTTTGAAGACATTAATAATAATAATAATAACAACATTACTTATAAAGCGCTTACCACCGAAGTTTCTAAGCACTATAAAGATTACAGTAATCAAGAATCCAAACAGTCAAAATTAAAAAATTAGTGATTAAGAATTTAATTTGATTTTTAAAATGTTGTTGTTGTTATTATTACTATTACTATTTTGCCGGGTAAACATTTAATGAATTTCCAGAATGGATAGTAGCCCGTAATTCTGTGCCCTACCATTATGTCCGCTCTACACTTCTCTGATCAATCCATTCTTGCTGCACCTACCCAGGCATATATGCAGTGTGTACAGCAAGACACCTTACAGTCCTTTTTTAATTTAAAAGAAATTAAAACTACGGAAATCCATGCAGGATCCACGGAAATTGATGGATGTGCGGTCTAATCTGATGCCTGGATATCATAATCAAATTGTGACTGTAGTAAAGTTTGTGCACCTCTTTGTCAAGTGTTGCCTCTAGATGAAGAGCTCCTGGGCTAACTACAAAGTCTTTCTGTGCTTCAGCTGTGGGTTGTGGGCCTGGGACATCAGGGGCATAGGTGACCTTCCTGATGGCAAGCCGAACAGAGTTCCTCTTGTGGGGTTTCTCATCCATCGTTTCTACAAGAGGCAAAGTATATTCACCAGGGGGGTGTTTCACAAAGATTCCAAGTTGAACTTATCTCTAAGTTGGACTTAAAATTTATGGAAAGCCGTTAGCATCTTTGAAAATATTTGTAGAAGTTATTTCAAAAGGCATAAATGTTAATTTAAATCATTCATATTTTCTATTATCATGGAAGATTTCATGTTCTTGATGTGGAATTTATGAAAAGTCTAAAATACTTGAATTTTTGCTTTAGAATATATTTCATTTTAAGGCTACAAATGGCTCTCCATAATATTTAAGTCCAACTTAGAGTTAAGTTTGACTTAGAATCTTTGTGAAACACCCCCTGGCGTATAAATAATCATTTTGAATCGTTGGGACTATTTAAAATCTATTATCACAACCATAGGATGAGATTTTAATCCCTTCAGGTGGCACCAAGTCGACAAACATTCACAAATACCTTGCAATGAGACAACATTTCTATCATTATGAATGTGATGAATGTTTTCGTTACTCAACCTGTAACAAACATCCTTACTTTTGATTCTAAATGTCAAGAACCAAATTTTGAATTCATGAAGAAAATTAGCTTTCCTTTGTTCAGAATGTTGTTTGCAATATAGCTACACTCTCCACAGGAAAAGTGTTGGTGAATTGTGAGATTTGTCAGTAAACTCAATAATTCTGCATTGCTATAGAAAGCGCACTCTATTTTTTCTTCTTGATGAGTGGTTAAACTGACAAATAACAATCGCATTCTACAGATATAACACTAACATGAGAGTAGATCACAACGTGCAATGTAAAAGTACACTGTTATCTGGATGTGCAAATACTAAATGTCTGATGCACCCACCATTATAACTAGTAACAACTTACACCAACCCTTGGCAGTCGTTTTCAGGGTATAGTGGTTCATACATATACTTGACGTTTTAATCAATATATGGGGCTTGGTACGAATTATCAGTCATCGCATCCGGTTGGGTGGTCGCTTTACATGACCTTTCATAAAACGAAAACGGAAGATCATATGAAGATGCACGTTGAGGACGCGACCTTCCGTCGATCTGGCGTGGGGTTTTCACAAAGTCTCGGGTAAATTGGAGCAGACCATTTGTAGAGGATAGGGGGTTTATTTCACAAACATTATCCCCGGCATCTTGTGAATAACGGGCTATATTTTCACAAAAGTTTGGGTAACATGATCACTTGACCCAACGTAATGACCCAATGATTTGAAATGAGCCAGATATTGGGGGTTTGTATCCCTGTCTTTTAAAAAGGTATGGTTTCTAGTTCTGTATCTCAAGCCAGTGCATAAGGGTAAACAGAAGGATTTATTCCTTCAAAGGTACCTGCACGGGTGTTAGCTGCAGATCCAAATCCAGTGTTGTAAATGTTATAAGATGATGACGTGGATCCTAATTTTGCCTAAGACGTAATTTTGATAATGACCGGTCATTATCAAATGCTAATGACCGGTCGTTAGTAAAATCATGTTATAAAACATTTTATAAAACAATTAAAACATGATCTTATTTAACATATCATTTTGTTCAGGCATTAGTAAAATGACCCACACAAACAATCCAAACACCCTCAGCGTGTTAGACTGTTCCAAAGGTACCTTGTGTGGGTAATTCTTACTAATGCCCTCACTGCTGTGTATTATTTGTATGCTAATTAATGCATTTAGAGAACAAAAAAGTTGTTGAATTATGAAGTAAAGTGTACTTTAAGAAAGCAGTATCATTATTACCTGCAACATAAGTTTTGAGTTCGTAATCTACACCGCATGGTTTGCCTGTATCACCTGGTGCAGGCTGCAGCGTGACCGATGAAGGAGAATTGATTGGCAGCTGTGTATGACAGGAAAGTCAACATTATTAATTGGTTAGGAACAGACAATTAATGGATTAGCCAAATGCACAATCAACTTGGTAAATGGAAGGAAAAAAAAGACATGGGAAGAAAAAAAAGACATGGGAGGAAATTCAATAGTCATTTGTAGATTTCTTTTAAACATGATTATTATTTAATTTTGCATTTTTTCTGTTCCATATATGTTTTCGTAACATTAATATAAATCAAGTAATCAAGTTCATTGTTGGTAAATTCAATTCAATTCAAATGAATGTAAATGTGCTGATCAAAGATGTAATACATTGATATTGGGTGACTGTAAAATCAGAGTCTCCAAAAACTTTGCCCTGTGGACAGAGGAGATTAACATATTCTATAGAGATCATTATCAATTGCTTGATAAGTGTATTTATATCTAAGATAGCTTGGCCGAATGGCATGAAAAGATGCATCTAGAATGCAAAATGATTAAATTATAGAAAATTAAAAATGTTATGACATAGATGTAGAACCACAAAGTACCTATACAATCTACAACTTTGATTAGGCAAAATTAAAATATGAAAAAATGTCATATAGTTATTTCAAATTACAACTTTTGAATCACAATTATTACCATCAACTATGCCTTCCACCTTGCAAATGTGTGACAATTAAAGCAATTACAACAATCCTGGAAACAATCATATAATAACAATCTTTTTATTGCTGTAAATAAAAAAAAAAAAAGAAGCTCCTGTAGACCTAAACAGAACTACAGTAATCTCCTCTCTTGGGTGTGATAACGTACTTCAAAGTAGAAGGGATACGCATTAGGGCCTAGCTTCTTGATGAGTCTCTCTTGAAGTCTGGTAAGTGGTCTCTGCTCATCGGATGGCTTAGGGTAGACCTGGACTGAAGCTAAGTACAGGTCCTTCCTGAAGGTCAGACCCAGGACATCCAGATCCTCCCGACCATAGCGGAATGCTGCTAGGACATGAGCGAAGACCTTCCTCTCCTTCAGGTAGTCTGGGTCTACTAACACAACTCCATCTGGAAGGCAAGTAAGATGACAACAATGTCACGTCTCAGCAGTGTTTCAAGACAATTAGTAACATACAGACCTGCCAACCTCTGGAGTTCAAAAACTGTATTCTTTAATCCCAAAAGTTGTATTACAGACAAAAGTTGTATTCTTAATAATAAACATGGACTGTTACGTGGATCAATGCCGCTTACAGTTCCTACATACAGGAAGAATCTTTTGTATGGATCATTGGTTGAATATTCATGATTTTGTCACGACTGGTGTGTTCAATGAACCGATGAACATCCCAAAATTGTTGATGTGAGATGCTTTGTAGGATACTTTGTAGGATACTTTACAGGACAGAATGGGGGGGGGGGGGAATTGTGTTTTTATTGAGCAAAATCGTACGGTCGTATTTGCATCTAAAAATCAAACAAAATATGACTAAATCGTACTGGTTGGCAGTTCTGAACATACTTACTCTTCTACTGATGATCATATCTATAGCATAGTCTTACTAATAGATTCTCAATGAATAGAAATTGAAAATTTTCATAAAGAAATTGCCTTTTAATAGCTGGCCTCTGTTAAAGAGGCATGTTCCCCGTATTCCAGAGGGCGTTCAAAATACGTACCCGCTGGCGGACAGTGCTAGCTGCCTATTGACACCAACAGAATACGGCTCTTACGCAGATAGCATGTTCCGAATGCCCGGACAATACCGATTATCGCATACATGTGCCGAAGTAATGCCAATCGCAGTTCGGCTCTAAGATTCGGCTGCTGTTTCGCCCACTTTCGTGACGTCGCAATCGTCAGCGAACAGCTGGCTTGGCGAAGGCAGGCCAGGCCGCGCGTACTTTGATTGACAGCTGTATGCAAATTAGAAGTCGATCTTCGGAACCAAGATTGCGATGACTAGAGCAGCGATAACTGCACTGGCGGGAACGTGCCACTTTAACATACAGGTAAAGCACTAATATAAACTTCCCCCAGATTTTGTCGATGTGTTTTTGGCCGTGCATGTATTATTTTTTTAAACCAATGCAAAACACATGCACAAGTCCATACATGCAAGGAGATTTGAGGTAACTCATTGTACTATTTCTGAATAATCTTACAACTTACCAATTGGATCGATGTGCGTTTGATGATCGACAAAATCTCTTTTGCCAAGATATGTTGTGATCTGAAAATAAAGGAGGAGGCAAGCAATTTGAATCAGTACACTAATGAACTAAGGTCATCTTTTATTCTCTCCCCTGGCAAATAAAGGCATTGCACAAAGAATATTCCTTCTCTTCCCCCCTCCCTCTTTCTCTCTCTCTCTCTCTCTCTCTCTCTTTCTCACTGTCCCTTTCTTTTAAATTGTTTTTCAAAAGAAACTGGCTAAAATCATTCTGAATAATTAATATAAATGTACTTTTTTTAATAACAAGCTTGCTTGGCCTTGTGAATTAAAACATTTGTTGAAAAAATACTAAACTGACAAAAACAAAAACAGCTTTGTCCTTGACAAATTTTAATTCTAATTTGCTAATTACTGCCTAATTACTCATTTTCATTAAATCGATTGTGCAGAAAATTAATGAGAAAATTGACCGTGATGGCCATTTGATAATTGTTATACTTTACAAAATTTGACCTCATTAAAATATATCAATCATCCAGACATGAAAATTAAAATGAAAGGAAAGCTGATTGTATACAAGGTGCCTCTCTAAAACCATAGCTGTATGGAACTTTATTAATGTGTTTTCATTATATATTTGTTTGTAATTTGCTTGTTATACTTTGCTGATCAATGCAAACATCTAATTATCTGCATGATGAGCAATAGGACCTTCTTGTAATGTCACCATTATGTTATGCACATGCAAATGATATACAGTAGGCTTGCAAATGATTTCATTCACCTGTTACAAATAAATGTCAAATCTCAATAATCTGAATTCAAATTGCATACATTTTTTGTTGCTAGGTAAGACAAACATTATGGCTTGCCCTACTTCTTACATATATATATAATATACGCAATTTGTATTCTGACTATTGAAATACAATTATTCCTAATAGGTGAATGAAATAAATCATATCATGGGACTTAAGTAAAAATGTGGTTACATTACGAAAATGGCCCACTTAGAACTGTTTTAGTTATTTTCCTGGATTTCATTTACAAGCAATGGAGATTACCTCTAAGCACTCAGAATACATTATAAAATCTAAATTTAGGACAAGGTCATATCAGGTCAATTCTACAGATCAATCATCAAGATCAAGGTGTTCTTAATGGTAAAATCACAACAAATCGTTGCATTAGAAAGACAGAATGATTTGCAGTAAGTGGAACCAGGAAGTGTTATCTCCCCCAACCAACAATTCAGGGTTATTAATTAAGCTTAGCCCATTTTGCTCTCAAATTGAACTTTTACCAAGGTGTACAGAATTAAGATTCCAAATTAGAAAAAAAAAAACGTTTTCTTGCCAGGGTCAGGCAAATAGAAATGTATTTATATTCAAATGAGGAAACGAAAAGGCAAGACTTTAAAAATAATACTGGGTAAAAAAAAAAAATAATGGGAAAAGCAAAAAAAAAATAATGTGAAAAGCAAAAAAAAAGTTAAGTGCAGCTGAAGATACATGTACATGTACCTATGTATTTGTCTACTATTTCATAAAAAAAACTATTTCGGTTCGATAAGCGGCAGGTTATTTTTAGAACTTATTCTTTGTCATTGCTGTGCCTACACAGCCTTGACTGAAGGTTTTTTAATAATAATATGATCATGAATTCAGATCATTGTTATCATACTTCAGTGGTATGTTTGTTATGTTTGCTCAAAACTATATTCAGGATCATTGATCATTTATTATTTATTATGATTATGAATTTGCATTTCTTTCATAATTTGCTCTTAATAAGGGTCATGTAAACTACAGACAAGTATTGTGAGAGAAAGAGCAAGTGAACTGAATTTTAAAAAATTGTTTTAACTGAAAATGATTCATCAAGTTTTTCTTTCCTAAATCCATACACTGCTGCCCATAGAGTTGGAATAAACTTTTCTTTCTTCTTTTCATGAAATTATTTTGACAGTATGATTTATTCTTGATGGATAAAGTTCTATCTTCTCCTAACGTCATAGATCAATCATAGATCAATCTCGATGACTCTTAAGAATGATCCATAGAGTTCTGCAAAGATCAGAAGATATCAACTTCACCAATCAAGAATAAATCATATTGTCACAATCGTTTAAAATAAAAGAGGTTAAAGATTTTTTTTTCTTAACTTTATGAGCAACAGTGTATTGTATTTCTTAAGAGACCTGGGAAGTCTATTTTACATGATCAAAGCAAAATGAAAATTCAACCATGTCAATATGCTTAATAATACTTTTAAAACCCTTCTGGCTTGAAAATGTGAATGGGTGATAGGTCAGTGAATCTTAATCTCTGGTTACTTCCTGATATGCCTTGTAATGTAACGTAAACCTGACACTACCAGCCTTGTTTGTGGTTTCCCTTTACATGGTACCCAAGACAGTGAATGAATACCGGTGATTTGAAAGAAGAGATATCATTTTACACACCATACTTTGTAAGCTCTTTGACCCATCTTCAACAAAGAGCGTAATATTAGACAATATGGAGTAGTACAGACAAGTAGCAAGGGTACATGTACAGGTGTGTAGTTAGTCTCAATGCTTGAACAGCCCTTGGTCCCTATACTGTATATCGAGATACATCTACCGGTAGTTTGCATTATATATAGTCCAGAGCTGCCATTAACCCCCAGAACAGAAAATCAGTAATTATAAGGCTCAAAATCAGTAATTTTTGGGGAAAATCAGTAATTTCCTATGCGGCGCCATGAATCTAAACTTAAATTTTTGGTGATTTTACTCCCACAAAGTTGCTAAATATTGATTTTAAGGTCATTACAACACATAAGTTTACGATGAAAAATTGGCTTCTATTAAGAGAATACTTGATACTTTTCCATCTTTCTCATACATTTTTGTTTGTTTGGTAATCCGTAATTTTTAGACAACATTCCGTACTGCCGTAATGGTTGTTAATTTCCGTACTTATTACGGGAAATCCGTACTAGTTAGCAGCTCTGATAGTCTACATGTACATGTACATACATGTATATACACATGGGCCCGAATTCACAAAGGAGGTTTAAATTATGGTTTGAATCTTCATTTACACAATAAAATGAGCCTAAAATGAGCCTGACACAGTCAGAGGTTCAATATTACATGCGCACAAGGCAAGGTAGTACGTGTATGCTTAATTTGCGCTTATTTTAAACCATGGGTTATGTAAAATTGCCTTTAAAATGAAAATGAAGATTTAAACCATGGTTACATTTTAACCTCCTTTGTGAATTCAAGGTCATGTACAGTGCAGTTGGGTCAATATAGAGTTTGACCCTGAAAATGGCAACAAAAGGTTTTTTCAACAGTTTCTGGTAGTTTCATTTTTTCTATCAAAAATATGAAAATACAGTGAAGAAAGGCATCACCACCTAACTTGCTTCTGTACATGTATGTGTAATAGATTTCTGAAGTAAAATATTGATTGACTGCTACATGTAATCTTTCTACTGAAAGAACCCTCATTACTATTCAAGGGGGAAAAATGTACAAGGTAGATTTACATGTATAGTGCCAACCAACAGGAGTTATTAACTGAAAATTGAAAATAGCTCTCTCCCTCTCTCGCTATTTTTCTTTTTCTCTCTCTACCACCCCCCCCCCAAAAAAAAATTATATAGTCCAAAGAATACCATTGTCTACTTTGATGCTACACCTGTCATGTATTATATTATGCTTCCTATAGTTGCTATTCAATCAGGAGAAATTCTTCTTTTCAGAAACTGTACCACACTAGCAGCTATTGCTTTGTGTATTATTTGCCAACTTTTGCTACACCTGTACTTGAGTGCAATAATGCATTTGGCAAAATGTCAGACATGAGATACTTTGAGGATGTATTTTTGGAACTGAAAATGAAAGAAGGAAATAAAATAAAAGGAAGTTTGGTGTACAAATTGCAAACTTATGACAACATGTACACAAAGTAAAACCACCACTAAATGAAAATTCAATTTGTGTTTTTTAATCAACTATAGATATTTTCATTACCCTTTGGGCCTATGACATAAATTTCAAACAAATGCATTCTTGGAATGGTGGTGGTTATTTTACCTGACTGCTAAGAAAGCATTAATGCTTGTAAGTAAGCAACCAGACAGCCGACGGCTTTAGGTCCTCTCCGAGGGACCTGGTGATGAGAATTAATGCCTTACCAAAGGGCATTAGTGCATCGCCTTGGTTTCGAACCCGGGTCACCGGATTACGAGACCACTGCTCTACCGACTGAGCTATCGCGCCTCCTCTTGAAGTAAGTGGGTTCACTATACTTTGGTATGTATCTTTATGAAGTTAAGGTATCATTAGAATGACTTAAATTTCCTTGTTTCACTGCTATATCACTTCCAAAGTAAATAATGCTATCTATCTTCCCCAAACAATCCCCATAATGAAAAGACTCATAGTTACAATTATTTTCAATTATAAAACGGTAAAAAAACACCACACCGTCGTACTTGAAGAGCTCTCGGAACACTGCCCAGATTTGTGACGTCACCCAAGGACCCGAATTAGCATAAGCAGATGATGTCCCATAACAATTAACAATGCCTGCTTTGTCATCTCTTCTTCACTTATTTCTCTCACTTCACCGGGAGTGTCATAACTATTTGATCTGTTGCTTCACTCTAATTTGGACATGGTTTTATTTTGATGATAAAATGTAATGTTATAACTAATAAAGGAATCCTGTGTAGCTTTACTTTGGATTGTAAAGAAGCATCATGTACATTCTGATGCATACCCCAAGGCATACATGTGCAATGCTTCAATCGGGAATAAACACCATCCATTCTAATTATTCGGAGGGCTTTACAATGGGCTTTACAAATCAAAAATGGGGTGATATTTCAGTGGGTTTTTTCAAATTTAATTGATCATTTATCCTGGCCTGGATTTTTTTAAGCAAAGGATTTGACCTATCAGCATCAGCATCACTTCTCTTTTGAAAAAGTGTGAAATAATATGTTCATGTTTGAAATCAATCAAAATTATTATCAATAATGATTGCACTGAAAATATATAAGTTATAGGACATTCGTCTACTAAGCAGGATTGGTCCCTGATGTGACGTCATCAAAACATTGTTAATTGTTAAATTGTCTGCCGAAGCGCTCCTATATCTCAGATCCTGAGAGGTGCTTTTATTTGTCTCAATTTTTTTATTGTCCAATATGCAGTTGACCTACAACTTATACGATCGTCATCTGTATTAAAGCTTCCTGGTTTCTAGTGATACATTATTGGCCATATTTGTGATTTTTAATGAATGTCTCCATTAAATCTAGCTTCATGTACATGTATATACATCATACATGTTTATTTATATAAGGCACATGTACATGTAGATAACTTCTAATTTCTTCAGAAATAGCAACAACATACATGTACATGTACATGTGTCTGTATGCCTTCATATTTGTTTAACCTCTGCAGTCTGTGCATGCTATTAAGAATAGGAAAAACTGAACTAGGAAATAAGTTGTTATCAATGTTATTGAATGTGGAAGTAAACATGAAGATTAAGCTTTTAAAGGTACAGTATAGCTCAACTTTAAAAAAAAATCAAATCCTCTTTAATGTACATGTACATGTAATCAAAGATTTAAAAAAAGTAATATGTAGTTTATTTGTATGGGCACCCAATCTGCAAGAAATTACATGTACAAGTTTATTGCTTTTAAGTTTTACCATTGTTGTATATATTGTATGTTAAACAATACTCACAATTTTATAATTTTTTAACAGAAAATACAATAGGCTTGACAGAGGAAATTGGAAGCAAAGGATGGTCTTACCTTGCCATTAGGGCTTGATTTCTTGAATACTCTGTAAAGAAGATGAAAAGAGAAAAAAGATTGATAATGTTATTTACTGTTTGGCAATGTGTTGTCATGGTCTACATCAGGTGATACTAGCACAAACGACACAATGAGATTTACATAGTACTTTCATTAATAAATGATGATAATGATGGGATTACATTTTAATATTAGTGATAACATAACAGTGATAATAATTATAATGATTATAATAATAATAATTATAATGATAGTTATTTTCATCATCATCATCATCATCATCATCATCACCATCATCATCATCATCATTATGACCATCATCACCATCGTCATCATCATCATCATCATCATCATCATCATCATCATCATCAGAATAATCATTTAAAAACATGAGATATCTGAGGAGATCATACAAGGAAATGTATGAGAAAAAAAAAAGAGTTGTTTTCTTTTCTGATTATCAAATCACTCCAGAAACGAAGGAGGCAATTATACTGGGCAAGGTCAGTTTCTCATTTTGAAGAAGGAAAAAAAAAAAACAGGGAAAGTTGACTACAATACTTCTAGTGAAATTGTATTTTGAGAGAAGAAGCTAGATACTCTGGATTACGAGATTGTTTGACAGGTACTGTTTCCCATTCAAGAGAAGTAGGTCGTTTCATCTGCTGAGACACAGGAATGAGTTAACTTTCTGTTTCTCAACAAACGAATTATGCATATTAAATTTTATCTATCTTAAACTGCTTTAGTATTTTTCAACTCATGGATTCAAAATAGGATTCACTGTACTATTGAATGCCACTGTGAGTGATTTACAATGTACATGTACATGTATGTAAATGGAGGGGGGGGGGGGGGGGGGGGGGGGGGGGGACGTCCACAATTTTTTCAATTTTTTTTTTAAAACAAGAAATGCATTTCTGTATCTGTTTTGATTGATGTTCAAGGTTTTTCAAACCCTTTCAAAGGATTTTCTGCTACAGCAAAACAAGTATGTAATGAAAAGTCCTTTTTGTGTGTATAGGATGTTTCTGATGCTGTTTATATCCGATATATCCTCATTGATTCTACATGTGTACAGGGATACAATGCTTGTACAGTCCTGAGGGGTAACTGGAAAACAAATACATGTAGAGACAGCAGACAATCAAATATAAAGAGAAATTGAAGGCAAATATCAAAATGGGAGATGAAAAGAATAATTTTGATATGTATTTTATAATAAAAAGTTGTATATAAACCTCTGTACAAAATGTACATGAGGGATACAGTCACTCCAATTTGTGAACCCAGAACAAAAATATATACACTCTAAAAGATCAGTATCCACTTTTATCGTAATTCCTGATCAAAATGGGCAAATTGCTCCAAATGACCTATCTGCCTATGATCTTTGCCGAGGCACGTAGTCTCTCCTGATGAATATTTACTGTATATAGAATACCTAATCAGTAAGATATCATCAGCCTCGCTTGCTGTGGATGGATATGTGGCTTTCCATTTCTTTTTTACCCAATCATGCATCCTGGAATTGATCAAATTTCATGGAATATTGTGACTTTATGCTTCACAGCCTCTACACACATGTGACATAAAAATGTAATATCATTGATGAACAGAAACAGTCAAATATGGTGTGAAAGATACTATTCAATGACAATGACAAAATATTCATCTAATCAGCAAAATATTAATAAACTTGAATGCTCACAAATGCACAGAGCCAACAATGAAATAGAAATTAATTACTGTCAATATACTATTTGTATTGTCATAAAATCATTGATACTGCATTTCTAGCCTGATAAAACATCACAATAAGAAAAAGAAGAAGAACAAGAAAAAAAAGAAGAAAAAAAGAAGAAAAAAGAAGAAAAAAGAAAAAAGAAAAAAAAAAAGAAGAAAAAGAAAAAAAGAAGAAAAAAAAAGGAAAAAGAAGGAAAAAGAGTACCGGTATACAAAAAATATTCTATTTGACAAACAGGGATTCTTCTACAAATCTAATTGGTGTTTAGAGACAAAGGTCATTGCAATATAACAGGGCCATATTGAAACATTCTTTTGAAAAAAAAATGGAAATACATACAGTATTAGGTTAACATTAGGCCCATTTACACATTCAAAACACCATTTTAAAAAAATCACTGATTTTTAAAACTATCATCTACAAGTACATACTTAAATAACCCACAAAAAACCAATTAGGTTTGCAATAGTACAAATGTAGGTTCCCTGCATTCATCAGAATGGAAGTGAGGAGAGCCACTTTGAGAAAAAAATCAGTATCTTTTGGAAATACCAAAGTTTGCATTTGTACATGTACACTGTACACTGCAAAAATCTGTGAAATTTTTAAATTTCATTTTTTCCCCCTTCCTGTTTGCTAGTAGTTTCTACATGTACTATACATGTATACGACTCTAGCTTCTTCTCCTATGCAACTAATGGCGAAACACCGTAATGTGAAGAAGAAAAAAAATCAAAGATTTTTGGACGTAGTGTAAATGCAGCTATTGAACCATCTCCCCCCTCCCCCCCCCCCCCCCTCCCTGCTTCCCAGGGCTGGACTTCAAAGACTGAGTAACCAAGAAGACAAATAACCACAATGCTACCAATAATACTGTAGGGGTCAGGTTCATTGCGCATCATTATAACACTCTCCCAGGCTTCAAAACAATGCTCACATTACTCATAAGGACACTGCACACGTTTCAATCAACGTGAAGCCAACGGCTCGTCGGTCGCACAGCAAATTGACAACTGCTTGACATTGCCTCTAGAGTCTAATCAAATGCTAAGTAGCACATTATACAAGGACAGGTATGTGATAATGAAACTCAACATTGATTCAAGAACACTTGAAAACAATCATTTCATCTCTTCAATCATACTGTAAGAACTATGAAGTACTACAGTGAGAACTATGAAGTACTACAGTGTATCTCTTAGACTTGAATATATATATTCCAGTGAAATCAACATGCACTAGACACATGTGTTCAACTGTGTGTCTATGGTAAACCTGAGAATATTGGCAAGAAGGCCTACTGGGTCCTACCAATACGCCATTCCTTTCAGATATTAACACTCATATTTCAGTGGTGCATATTTATTAGAAATAATGGGCTTGTTTTGAAAGCCCAATTTCGGTACACATGAACACAGATTTTTTTTCTGACAAGGATCTGTGTACACAGTATCTTGATTTTTGCCCATAAAATTATGCATACCTGCCAACATTTCAAAATAAGAATTAGGAATTTTTAGCACGGTGTGCATGCCTTTAAAGATAAGAAATCGCAATTGCAGCGGCAGTGTAACTGGCAATATGCGGTAATATGTACCAAAAATCAAATACGAATTCCCTGCTCGGTCATGCAGCCATTCAACTCACACAAAACGTAAGCTCTCAAATTGCGGTACATGATAAAAAAAGGCTTAATTTGGCTTTAGCACCAAAAAAAAAAAAAAAATTAAAAATTAAAATATTACAAATTTTCAGGTACATGTACATGTACATCCTAAAAATCCAAAAATCCAAAAAATCCAGAAAATCAGAATATTCCGGACTATTTGGAAAGGTTGGCAGGTACGACATGTACCATAACGCTGATGCTCCAGCCCTGTAGCCCTCCAACACTTTTCTAAGCTGTAGCGCCAGCGATGAAAACTGATAACACCCTAAATCAGATTGTGCAACAACCCCAAGCAGTCTGTGGATCAGTGTAACCACGGATCTAACATCCATGGTCTAACTTACATGTACATGTAGACCAATCCCTGGAGGGAGTGAGAATGAGGTCCAATTAACTTTGACATTTGCACAATCCTGGATTCCCAGGATGAAATTGAAGTGCACAAAGATAAATTTGAATGAAAGAAAGTGTTAAGATCTTTAGATGGGGAGTCCTTTAGATAAACAAAACAATCATCCATTTGTATTACCGGTACTTTCATGAGAAGTTCTACCTTGCAGATCCACCTATTGAATTACACATTAAAACACCACTTATGACCTGGTGTCTTCCCACTCATTAGACACGAGGGAATACTTTCACCAGCCTTCCTATAACACAGGATATCCTTATGGTTGACCCTGGGATGTCTAAGGTTGAGTTTGCTATGTACAGGCAGGATGATATGCCAGTGATCAAACACAAATACTGTTTTCAATATCACTGTAAATTTGTATTTATGAAACATTAGCAGTGTACTGGGTAGTGGTAGAACCTGTAAATGCAGGTTGAACTACACAGGCACAGCGGAGCACCCCAATTACCGTGCGATCGACTCTCGTCCAGTAAACATCATTTGCATAAAATCAACAATTGTGTACCGATCGATGCGAAAAAAAGTAAACAAATTTCGAAGACAAATTCTTCATTAATGTGATGAATATCACCAATCAAAGCTACTAAATCGAGTATTTAATAAATTTGCAAGACACTCATGTGTATAAAAGGAGTTATTGATGCACAGAAAATGTGAAATTTAAGGGATAGTTTTGACGAACAAAAACGAAAAAAATGAGATACAAAATCACCGTAAAATTCACCATTTCTTTTAGAGCGAGAAAGAATTGCCTCGTATGAACAGAAAGAAAATTTAATAATCTCAATCCTTGTGAAATATCTCTTTTCATAGTTGCTTGATAGGGTCGTCTCAGAGAAAAACATACCCCAATGTCCGAATCTCATCGAACATAAATAATCCTTCGTTGTCGCAAAATTGTTTGACCAGTCCCATACATTCAAATGTGTGTCATGTCTGAACCTCGCGTGTGCGTTGGCTATACATGTCTTGCCAGCCGACTGCACACGTGCACGCTAATGGCTCAGCTGTTTCGATCTGGCATGCACTGGGCCTAAGACGCATGCGCAGTACATCGCTGAGATCGATGACGTCATGTTCAATGAGTTCGCTGACTACAACTTTTAAAAATGAAGCCCCATGAAAAAGAACGTTATAACCAAAAAAATACAGCGGAGAAGCGAAAATTTCGCCCATGTATGGATTTAACCCTAATGAATATTCATACCAAGTCTCTACTTCGTGCATTGCTTGATAGGGTCATCGCATTATAAAGTAGACGTCGTGTTTTTCGAGGGGCGAAGCTCAAAACACATTAATATCTCGAGTTTTATTCCATGGAATTTCGTATTTATTTCACTGACATAAAATTCATAATAATTTTAGTTAGTATGGAAAGTTTCATAGCGATATTGGCAGTAATAAAGGCGCAACGCGAATTTTAAGATTTGACATTCTAGCACACACATGTTCGGATTCACGCAGATGTCCGTTGGTTATTCAAATAGAACGGGCCGCTAATGATATGCAAATTGGGGTGCTCCGCTGTGCCTGTAACATGTACTACAACAGGCTTAAATTAATCCAAGGCCACCAAGCCATGTCCGTGGATGCCCTTTTGATTGGCCTCAATGCCCCTCTCATTGGCCTTGAAGATTTGTTTGTGCCCTTTCCAATTCTTCCTATTTGTGCTGTAATATACATTGTAGGAATGTGCCATATAGGAATGTGCCCTACAGAAAAGTGGCCTTGCCCTAAAATAACGAAATTTAAGGCCTGCTACAATGTCACATCGATCGATACCTTCTAATCAGCTTAATCTTTGTATATCAAGCATTTCCTTGAATTTCTCAAAACATCCTTATTCCTTTGGAAACAACAGCAAAAAATACATGTAGCTCATTAAGACAATATTAACAAATATTCCCACGGTATTTCATACTGGGCCATTTTCTTTACCAACTTATTAAAATAATTTGAGATATAGCTCAGTCGTTAGACTGGTGCCATACACCCAGTTCTGGCATGCTCCAATACAATATCTGATGTTGCTATTATTTCACAGATCCTGTATTTGTCAGATATCGTGAAATGTTAATATTGAGGGGGATACCTACAAGCTAATACTTGCTAAATACTTACAAGCATTTATGCTTCCTTAGCAGTCAGGTAAAATAACCACCACCATCATTAATTATTGAGGATCTTGTGAGGGCACTACAAGAAGCTATCTCCCAAAATGAGAGCTAATCAATATCAATATCATTATTATTATTACTATCTGTACATGTACATTGCTGTAGGGTAAATTGTGTTTATTTCTCCCTCTCTTTGGTGTCAGGTTAAACCTGCTATTCAAGATTAAGACACTTTGAGCTCATTAATTATGACGTGTAACTCTGCATATCCAAGCCTTTGTTCATTTCAACCTGTACAGTACCCACTTTAGAACAAATGCACATACGCATTTTTGTACTGCTACATGTGAGAGGAGGGACACGGCATAAGGCAATGTGGATCAGCAATTGAGTACAGTAGCACAATGGAAAGATCACATATTTCTAAAAGAAGTGGTTTATATGCGAATTACATCCATCAATCAAATGGAATTAGTAAAGAATAAGAAATGCAATTTTATTGCACCATCAAATGCCTTAAACAGGTAATGAATTAATTATTCCTCCATCCTCTCAAGTGAAGGAGAAAGAAAACAGTAGCAGAGCACCAGACTCGGTCAAACCATGGACTTACAGTACCACCAAACTGACCTTACAGTATAAGAACAGTTTTCGGCGTAGTGTACAACAACAACAAAACAATTACGTACCGGTATTCATTTATCAATATTTGTCTTCAAACACATTTTTGGGGGGAAATATTTGCAGAAGTGTGTCTTTAACTAAAATGACATTCTCTTTCACATGATAAAATTTAAGTGAAATATTGCCATCAAATTTTTGGCAAATTTGGGGCTCCCACACTTTTAGAGGGCTTAAATATAATTCAATGACAAGAAAAATCCTGAATGCAAGTTTTTGTATGAACTCCAAGACTAGTGAAGAGGATGAATCTGCTGGCTGGACCACTGCACGATCACTTGACCTGGACTGTACAGAATTTGAAGGGGACAACAAAAACTCTAGTGTCTGAGCGCTTTAAGGGCAAGATGTACACAATTTTCGGACAAAGCAACTGTTACATTGTACACATGTACATGCATACGTGCAAAAAGTACAAGTACTAATGGAGAGAGAGAGGAAGAGGGAGGGAGAGAGAGGAAGAGAGAGGGAAGAGAGGAAGAGAGAGGGAAAGAGAGGAAGAGGGAGGGAGAGAGAGGAAGAGGGAGGGAGAGAGAGAATGATCATGACCCAAATTACAGTTTTAACATTTTAATATGGAAAGGAAAGGAAAGGAGAGAGAAAGAAGAGGAGAGAGATAGAAGAGGAGAGAGATAGAAGAGAAGAGAGAAAGAAGAGGAGAGAAAGAAGAGGAGAGAAAGAAGAGGAGAGAGATAGAAGAGGAAAACATACAAATGAGATTAGAGGGAAAGATGGAGGCAGAAAGAACCCAAGAAAATAATCTGAGACAGAGCAAGAAAAGCAAGCAAGAGAAGAGGAAAATATATGTACAGTACATACAGTGTACAAGAAAAAGGGTATACAGACTTTCAGAGAGGGTAAAAATAAGGAAAGAAAAGTAAGAAATAATCAAACATAACAAGAGGGATAGAATTCTCTCGTGTTACCATACCACAAATGCCCAAATTAGCTCCTAGAAGAGGACTGAATCAAATGATGTATACTGAAAAATCTAACAAATAGAGAAGGAAGCATTAAGCAGAGTGAACATTATTCAGAATGTCAGCTTGCAATAGCACACCTGTCTACCTGGGGCCTTTTAATCTGGTCGAAATGAGATGGCAAGACAGAGCACAAAGCCAATTGACATGACGGACAGCAAGGTTTGAGAGAGGCAATTTCACATGACTAATCTAATTGGATCTGCAAGTAAAAGATTTTAAAAATTCATTGTTGTTTTTTACATGACTGTTTAGAAAGCACGAGTATACATGCTTGTACATAGCAACCAGGGGAACCGATGGCTTTAAGTCCTCTCCGAGGGACTTGGTAATGAGGACTAATGCCTTTAAAGGTACTACAGGGTATGTCCCATTTGCAGGTCAACAAAATGAAAAGGTTAAAATCCAATGGCATTTGAAAGATAATACTAATTTAGAACTTCCCTAAAAAGGTGGGCTTGAAGATGTCTTCAAGTGGGAAAATAACGATAATTAGTTGTCAATCGACTTAGGAGCTATAGAGCCAATAAGTAATAGTCTTGATTTTCAGACCATTGTACCGAATGGTCATACGTTTTATGCTGCGCAAAGATTCAATCAGTTTAATTTTGGCCATCACAAGAAGTGCGTTATTGATGTAGACAAATGCTCATGTGGGCAATTCCACGGTAACGGAATTACATTTCAGAGAAATTTGGGCTCTATTTTGATATACTGTAGACAGGTGGTTAGACCTAGGTGATTATTTATCTTTTTATTCTTTCTGTATTATGCACCTGTTAGCGAATCAAATTTAAAAAAATTATTTTTCAACATTCGGAACACCCCAGGACCAAAAGTGTGTCGGTAACGGAATTACGGCAGAAAAATCAGGTTATTTTTTACACTAACTTTGAAAAGATTTCGTCTGAAATCTGCAGCCAATTGGGGTGAAGTAATGCTAATAAAGGGAGCTTATATTATTGACTGTCCCATGGCAAGATTTTTTTTTGGTGAAGTTGTCATGGTTTATCTATGCCGAATGGTTTTATGAAAGAAGGTAGCGGTAACGGAATTACATTAATGGTAACGGAATTACGTCTTCTGAAATAAGCTTGAAAAAAGGTGATTTTGTAAACATTATTTAGGCTTAAATTGTTGTTTAATTGTTTCAGGGGTTGCAATAATTGATTTAAACTACAAAGCAATTCATATGTGCCCTTCATTTCTAAAAACTGTTGAAAAACGTGTCTTTTATATTGTTAAATAGCAAGTAAATATGACATTTCTGAGCAAATATTGTGTGTAGTGATTAAATTTATGTCAATATGTGTTATCATATACTAGTTTACAACTAATTTTAATTTGGTTTAGTTTGCAAGTAGGAACATCACACAAAGTATGACAACTACATATATTATTGCCCATTTGGCGGTAACGGAATTACACATATACAGATCACTTTTGTGACCATACATGACAAACTGGTTGTGAAGTCGCCAAGACCAATTTATAGAAACAGGTCAATAAACTCCACAGTATTCAATAGGAAACAAAGGATATTCAATTGTTTTATTGACTATTGTGAGGGCCTATTAACCTAGCAAATACCACATGCAATACATTATTTCAAAGCTTATTTTATGCAGGTTTGATCGTTCGTTCGTTCGTTCGTGCAAAGAATATCAGGAGTACATCATCTAGATAGGAAGATCCTTATTGAGCCAACAGATCGTCTCATCATCGAGCTCACGAAGTCCGAAGCGCCGTGGGGGATTTGTAGATCGGACAATCATCAATGACATGATCCATAGTTTGGATCTCTCCACAGGCGCAGTTTGGTGATGGTTCAGCTCCAATTTTATGTAGGAAATATTGTGTGCGGCCAACTCCAGTTCTGACACGGTTTAGGTTGACCCAGGCTTTTCTTGGAGGTCGCTGCCCCTTGGTTTTGCACAGGGCTTTGGGATGAACTCCTTCAGGTTGGTAGTGGACGAATTCCACTGGTCTGACCAGCGTTTTGTTATCCAAGTGGCTAAGGTGGAGGGGGGGTTCTCAGGCCGCAGCTCAGCAGCCTGTGTTGCAAAGTGTCTTCTAGGGAGACGCTGTCCTTCAAAGGCAGAGGGGGCAGGAACAAGGCATTTATCTCTGTCATGCTTTTGGGCAAGCTTAGCATACTGCGCATCTCGTCTGAGCTGAGCTGGTGGTATGCCAGATAATATTGGCAGGTTGCTGACTGGTGTTGCAGTGAGTGTTCCGCTGATTAGTCTCATAGCGTCATTGAGGACAACATCAACCTTGTGTACATGGGTGCTGTGGCTCCATGCAGGTGCAGCATACTCGGCAGTGGAGAAGGCAAGAGCTAGAGTGGAGGTGCGAAGGGTGGTGAAATTAGCTCCCCATCCGGTCCCTGCAAGCTTCTTTAGGAGAGACACTCTGGCTTGGGTCTTTTGGGCTGTGGCTTTGGCTTGCTCGTGGAAGGTGAGGCTTCGGTCAAGAGTGACACCTAGGTACTTTGGTGTTGAGACGAAGTTCAGCCTAGACCCATCTAGTGAGATATTCAGCTCTCGGTTGGCGCAGGTTTGATCAAAATCGATTGAAAATTGCAACATTACAACCTGTTCGTCGTGGATGGTTACATTTAAGCATTCAAACAATTCCAAAACACTTAAGTGATACTAATAACACTGCCTACACCCAACACAGGGATCTTGGTGTAAATTAAAACAAAACACATGAATATTTATTTATAATGATTTCAGTCCATAAAGCCAACCACCAAAATCTAAACTAATTATATAAAGAGAGCTTAATATAGCTATCATTTTGTCAACAGCGTTTCAATAATATTTCACACCAGAATTTGTAAATCATTCCCCTATCTCATATTTCTGTCGAGCCAATTTTTCAACCTGCTGAGCCAATTTTGCGACATTAATGGTAGAGCCTTAGAGGGAGTACTGGTTATCATTCTTTAAAATTAATTACAAACCTTGTCAGATGATTCCATAGTACAATTTCAATCCACAAAAGCTAGCACCCGATTCAAAACTAATTAATAAGATAACGTCATTAACAGAGTTGCAATAAAATGTCAAACCTTGTAAATCATTACGCCAATTCAATAAATTGTTATCATTCTTTAATAGTTAGTTATTATTCTTTTAAAATTAATTAAATACTTGATCAGTGTCCTTGAATTTGTTACAACATGTAACAAACTTGACCACTGTCATCATTCTTCATTCCAAACAATTATATTTTCTCTGAGCGTTAGCGATCTAGTCAAAGGCGCCCTGCCATCCCCCCCCCCCCCCCTCCCCTTGTGTTTAATACGTAGAGTATGGAAATTAACCGTCTGCAAGAGGGCTAGTCTGCTATGGTCGTAGCCATCTACATGTAACTTCTAATAAAATACATGTTTTTTGATAGATTAGACCTTCCCCTTCAACCTCCACCTTGTCATTTGTTAACGTATTTGCTCTGAGCGCTAGCGGACCTGTACAGTAAGTTACCCTGACACCTTCCCTCAGTCCCATATGTTTTACGTGTTACGAGTCGGCAAAGTAACCGTCTGCAACGGACTAGTCCGAGACTAGTCCGGTACCTGCCAAAGCCTTTTTACTTTTTATTAAATATTTTTTCGCTAGATTAGACCTTGCTTTTTCAACCTCCACCTACATATAGTCATCGGCAAAGGTATTTTGTCTGTGTGCTAGCGGACTGATTCAAAGTCACCCCTCCCCCCCCCCCCTCCAATGGCCCCATCCATATAACAAAAGTGTCCGTCTGCAAGAAGACTAGTCCACTATGGTCTTTTATAGCCATCTAATTTTTAATGAATTATCCTTTTTTTTGTTTTGGTAATTTACATGTATTGTAGACCTTGCTTTCCACCTCCACCTAGCTGTTTTTTAGGGTGTTTTCGTGGGTATTTTCTTTGAGTGCTAGCGGACATCGTCAAAGTCACCCTGCCCCCCCCCCCCCCCCCCCCCCCCCCCCCCCCCCGTTTCCCTTTACAAGTCCCATATGTATAATACGTAGAGTAGGGAAATTCACAGTCTGCAAGAGGGCTAGTGCGCTATGGTCTTAGCTTTCTAACTTCTAATGAAATTTTTCTTTCTTTTTTCGATAGATTAGATGAGATCAGTGAAGAATAAAAATCAGAAAAGGCACTGTTTAAAATCGCCATAGGTGAAATAATATGAAGTATTTCCATGCTTAAATCAAAAGGTTTCATAAGAGATGTTGGTACAATTTTAATTGCAAGTTCAGAGTGAATGAAAATAAACACATCTAAAATTCCCAGCCTAGTTTGTAGTCTTTATGCAAATTTGAAAAAAGTTTTTAAAAAACATTCATTGAATTTATTGAAGCCAGATCCTTAGTCTTTAGTTAGACAGTTAATATAATAAGCCACTACTTAAAAAAAAGGGGCAAAATCCATTAAAAATGTTGTAACACAGCATACATTATATGTACATGAGGCAGCAGGTCCATCTCTTGAAAAACGAACCACTCATTACTAATGCTGCTACCCCTTGTAATTATGTTACCAATGTAATTCCGTTACCATGTAATTCCGTTACCAGTGTTTTGATAGGAAAATAAGTAGATACTTCTGAAATTAATGTTTAGGGCTGTCAGTAGGTAGATAAAGGAAGAGAATTTGCAACTTCAAAAAAAAAAAGTAAGAAATAACTTTGTGAGTAAAACTTCTTTCAAATTTTGGTAACGGAATTACGCCATTTTAAGGGTAAAATTGAAAAATCTCTCACACAAAAACTTTTTTCATTTTTTGAAAATAATTTGCAAATCTTGATTCCTATTTGTGATGTTGTTCAATTAGGAATAAATATAGAGGAATAAGTTTTAAATACATTGCTCCACTGAATTTTAAGAAATTAAATCATGATCATGTGATTGTGGCCCCCAAAATAGCCCCAACTTCAAATAAATTTTTCAGAAAAACCGTAAAAGATATTTCAAAACGGTTTTCAGTTCCGTCACAAGTGATTTCTTGACTACATGGAAAATGTTAAATTATTGAAGTTGGATCAAATTAAGAATTTGATGATTTTCCTCTTTCCCATACGGAATTGCCCATGTACCAATTTACAGCTCATGTTATGTATGTTATTACCAAAAAAGAAGAAAAAGCCAGTCGTCACTCAATAGTGTCTGACAGTGAAGTCTAGCAAGGAAATGGGTTTCCTTGCATAATTTGAATATAAGGACACTGCTAATGTTTAAATTTCACAGATAGGACATACATGACATATTCATAATTCCTGCAAAGTTCTACAAAATTTGAGGTCGGCTGCAAAAGGGATATAGTACCTTTAATAACAAAGGGCACTAGTGCATCGACTTGGTTTTAAACCAGGACCCGGTTATGAGACCACTGCTCTACCACTGAGCCATCGCGCCTCCCAAACGAGAAAAAAAAATGAATATGAAATGACAGAAGATCCGTCAAAGGAACATGGCAACAGGAAAGTCTATAGACAAACGAACCCAAAGACAAATAGATGAAAACTCCTACTTTATTGACTTTTGTGTTTACAAGGCATTCTCAAGAGTACCCTCTAGTGGTGGTCGAGTGGGAAAGGACCATGAAGATCATGGTCCAGGGTTCAAGTCCGTGCCGGACAACTCAATTCCTTCGGCAAGACATTAATCTATATTTCTCACTTTCCGTTCCCAACCCAGGTGAAGTAAACAAGTACTGAATAGTTTTTTTTTCTTCAAAATTCTCACACAAATATCAATCTATTTTACAGTGTGAAAGGAATCTTCAAATGTACAATATGATTGAGGATTCATATGGGTTCACTTTTTGTTCATACATGTATGAAGCATGGAAAATCACAAGACATCACACAACAATGCTCATTAGGCGCGTCTTCATCATCTCGAGATTGCCAAATAGCCCGCTATTTCTGATTTGGGAAATAATCCAAGTTACAAATCGCGTCTTCATCAGCTGGAGATTCAACCTCGAAACTTGAAACTCGACCTTGAGAAATTAGCTCAAGATATTTTGCTCAGCGTTCGCGCAAAGTGTGAGTCTTCGGTTTGGTGAAGACGCACCAGACAAATAGCTGGATATTTTGCCAAATAGTGGGATATTTTGCAAACTATTCCAAGATATCTTGGGTTGATAATCCCGACCAAATATCCCGCTAATTGCAACTTCGGGCTGATGAAGACGCAAATTAGCTGGATAGTTTGCGATCGGGATAGTTCAAATAGCGGGAAATTTGGCAATCTCGAGCTAGTGAAAACAAGCCTTTTTGGGCACTGCATGATTGATTAATTTACATATTAAACACTAAACTGTCAGACACTGCAACTTTCACTTTAATAGACAGGTTAAGTCATTTTTCCCTGTCATAAAAGCTGAACACTGCTCCAATTACTAATCCATACAGCACAGTAATTGGCAATTGGCCAGCTAATAAATCTATTGAATGGTATTCATGACATGTATGAAGATGAAGAGCATTTAAAATGCGATAGAATGAGAAGCCCTGGTTTAACACGGGTAGTCCAACCTTCTCATCTGATGAATGTCATCCCTGTACTCGCACGATCCAACAAACGCAAAGTGGGGAAGGAAATTCAACGACAAATGCCCCACTTAAAACCACGCTTTTAGTGCAAATGGGATGTCAGATGCATTTCCACAAGCCCCACACCCTTGATTTGTTGTAGGGTTAAGGTATCATTTCAACACACTTATGTAGGGCTAGGTAGGTGCCTTGAATTCCTGGGAGGACCTTTAGGCTCCACTTCAAAGTACTGTTTATGCATGCATGCAGTCAAAAATGGATGGTATACATCCAACCTACATTGTACATGTCTGTTTGGGGGTAAACACATCATTTACGTCAATGTGTTATCAATGTATAATTTGGGGGCTGAATTCAGTTTAAAACCTAGCTGGATTTTCTTTGTGTGCAGTACTATTTTCATATAAATGTGCGAGAATTAATGGAATATTTTCATCATCTTCTGGACCTTCCCTCGACGACGGCCATTTACATGTATTCTAAATCCCCCCAAACAACTGCCCATTATAGAAATTGCAATTGTGCTGGGGTAATACCATGGGCCAAAAATAATTTCCCATTTCTAGGGGCATTACTTAAATTACTACATCAAATATTCATAAGTTTAATGTACACGTTAGCCTCTCTTCAGGGCTGAAGGAGATATCTATTTTGGCCCTTCAGTTCAACCCTACAAACAGGTTGATCCTTGTGGGAGAAATCTAACAAACAAGGAAGTTCTGAATGTTTGGGATTTGAGATTTCACTAAATTGATGCAAATCTCAAAATGGCAATTTCTTCAGCTGATAAAAAAGATTATTGTTTGTGTATCTGCTACCACTGACATATTTCTTGTTTATTTTGATGTCTAAAAGACTGTGGGTGGATGGTTTACCACAATCCCCTCCCCAGAAAATTAAATAGCACTTTTCAATTCAATGCTGACATGTCTGTTGACTGTCTAGAGTCCAAACCAAACAGCCACAAGGAAGTAATGTACATGTACATGTAACCTTTCCAGTTATATTGTTATCAATATCTGCCAAGATCCAGCAAAGTATTGATTCACCTAAACAAACATCACTGACATTGAACAAATTTGACAGGATAAAAGATCTGTTACATTAACTCCAAAGACATCAGAGCTGCCAAAGTGGAGAAAGAGATCAATTTGGAAGAAACTACAGTCAAACCTGCATCTACAGCGACCGCCCAAGGGAAACAAAAAATGTGCTTGTTGTAGACAGGTAATCTTTGTAGACAGATTCCTTTAGTACATGTTTCAATTAGTTTCAATGAGAAACTATTTTCAGGGGAAACAAAAAAATGTGCTTGTTGTAGACAGGTGGTCTTTGAAGACAGGTTCCTTTAGCACATGTTTCAATGAGAAACCATTTTCAAGGGAAACAACAAATGGGCTTGTTGTAGACAGGTGGTCTTTGAAGACAGGTTCCTTTGAATCCTTTAGTACATGTTTCAATGAGAAACCATTTTCAAGGGAAACAAAAAATGTGCTTGTTGTAGACAGGTGGTCACTAAAGCAGGCTTGACTGTATTTATATGTATGCATCAGTTGATAGTAAATACAAAGATAAGGCCAAATAAAAAACAAAACATGTTTGGCATCCTGCCTTATTGAAAAATAGGAAGGAGGAGGCCCCTTTTTTTTTCTTCTTCAAAATGGCCGCTCAGTACATTTTCCCTGTCAGTTGGGCTATTTTTCAAGATCAGAGGCCGCCGGCATTAGTTTTCTTTTTTCCAAATCAGAAATAGATAATTTTTGCACAGTGTTTCTTTAAAGGTAAAGACCAGTATTGGAAACGCCCCAATTTCAAAAAATGAAATGGAAGCTCTCATTACCAATCATGTGAAAGAATATGTTTTGACTAATACATGATGATAACAAATTTGCCGGGAAACTGCCTACTAATTCATATATTTGGTAAATTTGTTTCTCTCATGGACTGTGAGAGATATAGGGTAGTCCCATGTACATCTTGATTTTGTATAGTGCTTGTAACTTTACGAAGAATGGGCCAAATTTCTTATCATTTTGATGATTCCAGAACCTTGCAGATGCTAGATGCTAGATGATCAACCTTTTCTGATCGATTCCACAACGTTTCTTTCACAATGCAATCGCATGACCATAACTGGTCTTTACCTTTAATGTTTTTTTTCGCTAAAAAAAAAGAAAAAGAAAAAGAAAAAAAAAGGAGGCTGCCCCCCAAAAGGAAGCGGGCGGGGACGCTAAACATGATTTTTTTTTTTAATGGCCTATTAATGAAAATACAATGACCCTGGTGACCAATATGAGTATGATGCAATTGAAAATGATGACAATTATGATGATCTTGATATAATAATGAGAGGGAAATAAAATTAATGATGATGATGATGATGCTCTGATAGCACTCAAATGGTTTATGGTGATGGTGATGGTAATGTGATAAGCCTTACAATGGTGAGTGATACAACTGATGAGCAAGCCAGTCTGTACATGTAGATACAATCTACACAAGGGCGACATTTCTACAAAATTGTAAAAGCCACAGAGACAAAATACTAGATACATGATCTTCTCGTTTTGTAATAATTAATTCATACATGTACAAATGTACACATCATGTTATGTGTCAATAGTGCATTCCATGATAAAAAAGGTTCCACTTGAACTACGGATATTACTTTCAAAGGGGGGGGGGGGAGAAAAGCTATTCTTGCAGCACCTTCATCCCTTTGACAATGATTATAATGCTCAAAAGGGACCTCTCCACGCTTGAAAGATCAGTGGAAATTTCAAGTAATGTGTACCATGTGCTAACTACCTTACAAACTGGTCTATTGCAATGATAGTTATTTTCATTCTCGTTGGATTGATATCTTATCACTTTGACCTGTAATTTCTTTCTATACTTTCTGAGTACCCCTGCTTGTAATGTACAGGCCTACATTTGTACATTGTAAACTGTCCATGCTTAATTCAAAGTGTTATAGTATGATGTTTCCGAAGAATTCTAAATCTTGAAAGAACTTAATAGAAATTTCAACAAGACAGTATACGCGACTGTGTCTTCAAAACCCCTCTGTTTAAATTTAGTTACGATCATGGCTTGAAGAAAAAAGCCTTGAATAATTCTTGGAATATTACGATGAGAATGAAGAGCCTACATGTAGATACTCGATGTCAATTGATCTTTATGACCTTTCACCTTTCACCTACATGTATTTACCCTAAAATCCCTAAATCTAATCAGAACATCTTCCTAGTGCTAGTGCTAGCCGGAAGCGACAGTATTATGGTATCATTGAGGATAAAAAAAAAGAAACTAAATTAATTTAGCGCTGCAGCACGTCCATGGGGGGTTGCTAACCTGACGTTTATTACATTTGTATTTTGTTCTCTCTGCGATACCATAATATCTTCGCTTCTGGCTAGCATGTACATGTACATGTATGTAGCTGGATTGGCAACTTCCGTTCATAAATTTTGTACCGTTTCAAAGATTTTGAGTTTTCTCATTTCTTCAGGTCGGTGACAGCAACATGTAGTAAACCATGTTTTTTTACAATATTGAGGGATATTTTTATACCTTGAAACATCCCGAGTGCTTTAATGATGCAAGTTTTGTTCGGTTCACATTTTACTTTTCATGAACTCGAGCGTAGAGAAAACAGCACACCTACATGTATATCTAACTGCCTGCTATAAATGTACTAGGCATGGCCATCAGGCGGGTATAACAGGGTATAGATCTATTGAAATATAGGAAGTTATGCATATATCATACAAACAATGTACGCTCAGATGAAAGTTTAAAGTTCAAAAGAGCATTCAAGTTTAATTAAGCTAAAGACCAGTTATGTCATGCGATTGCATTGTGAAAGAAACATTGTGAAATCGATCAGAAAAGGTTGATCATCTAGCATACACTGCAAGGTTCTGGAATCATCAAAATGATAAGAAATTTGGCCAAGTCTTCATAAAGTTAGAATCACTGTACACAGAAAGATGTATATGGGACTACACACACGTGCGCGACACGTGCATTTGTATCTCTCAACAGGCGAGAGATATACTAATTTACCAAATAGTCCTATATTAATTAGTAGGCGGTTTCCCGTCAACATTTTTATCATCATGTATTATTCAAAACATATTCTTTCACATGATTGGTAATAAGAGCTTGCAAATCATTTTTTTAAATTGGGGCGTTTCCAATACTGGTCTTTACCTTTAAAGTTCAACAGGGCTTTCAAGTTTAAAGTTACTAGAAAATAATACCGTACTTACTTTGAAGTGAACAAAACGTTGTGAAATATCATGAATCAAACAATTTTTTTAATGTTTTTTGTATTTTTAATTTTTTTTTTACTTAATATAGATCTAGGAATACAAATATTATTATTATTATTATTATTTGTATTTCTAATAGGAATACAAATAATTGATGCTAAGCCTAAGAAGGTGTGGGGGAAAAAGAGATGATAGTATATAAACGTGGACTTCAAGTGAGAGCAAGCATTATGCCCAACACTGCACTGTTCATAACCTGAAATTCTATCAAAAACCTACAGTAGCTATACATGTATCTTTATCTTTCATGAAATACAGGCTTATAATAGCACTAGCAATCTTAACAACACCACAGGAAGGCCTATACATGTACATGTAGATATCAATTGCAATTGCATGATTTGATAATTGTATAAAGTGATTAATGCCTTTTTAACGGTGAAAGCTCAATATTTTTTTTAATATCTTTCCTCTTCTATCTCTCTCTCTCTCTCTCTCTCTCTCTCTCTCTCTCTCGTATCTAAGCGCATAGAGACAATAATGTAATATGCGCTACATAAGAATTGAACATGCATTATTATCATTATTATTAATAGATCTAGGTCGGTCTGTATCTCTTCACAACCTTGTTCAAACCTATACCTTTATATTTCAGCCATGTTATGTTACTAAGGCTATTAAACAGAAGACAATTAAGTCACAAAGCTAAAGCAAGCTACGAGATGTACAATGTACAGGTTCGTACAGGTTCATTCAGGCATTGCTGTGCACTCAACAACAACAGTCTTACAGTTGAATTACAAACAATAGTGACAACTTACAATACACATGATTTACATGTACATACACAGACAATGAAATACAAGGAGGTTTCCGGCTGGCCTCCTCCGTTTGTTATAATGGACAACTGCTCACTGTACCTTGAATTAAGACGACTCATGGCTGGCCAGTTCCCGGCTGGGTTGCCCTCCTGCAAGCTAGGATTTCCCCTAAACACTGGCCCCTACGGATCCCTAGCACTAGCCCAGCTAAATAATGTCCTGTATTCGTAGATCTGTCTGTAGTGGAGCTCACAATGTTATTATCCCAATTCCCAATGTCAATGTCCCGGTAAAGAATCCAGTGTTAAACAGAATAAGATAGGAATCACTATATCCATATATTTTTGGCAGCCAGAAAACGTAGACAGCATTCAAACAGGAATAGCATGCATTTATGTCTTATCTGTTCCCCTTTGCTCTTTCCCTCGATCCATACATGTACAGCTAGCTAGTGATATCTTCCTTCTTCTGTTTATGCCATGCGCCAAGCTAGGGCCTAGGCAATACAACTGAGCTAGCCACACACCCAATATGTATTTCTGTACTGTGCCTAGCAATAGCCTCACATTTTAAACACACAGGACAGACACACACACTATACACAAAAGTCTGCAGTATTACTGTATTGAAATGGGCCATAACACAGTAATGCTATGCATTAGCGATTCGAGTCAATGACTTTCTTACACTAGATTTTTAGCAGAGCCTATCCTAAAGGGCGCAAATGCAAAAACATAATCATTGCAAAATGAAATTGATTCTAAAAGCTCCCTAACTGGGACAATTTCACTGCATTTCTCTGTGTTTTGATCACTATTTCATCTGCGCTGCCATCATGAAAAGTAATCGGCCAGTAATTGTTCCATATGCTTCAATCTGTGTGCTCTATGGAGCAGCCAGGTAAATCACTTCATTTTGCATATATATAGCATCTCAAGCCCTCCATTTTGGGGGCTAATTGGCAGGAGGAAATTCTCTGAAAATAACCTTTCATGAACAGGAGGGTGGGGTCAAAATCATTATGCCTATCTTAAATCAATAAGATTTCTAATCTTGAAATTATTTTGTCATTATAGGCCTACCAATTAGGCTATATCTTACACAAGATTAACAACAATAACCAACAACATCAAAAGTATCATCAATTCATAAGATATACCATGCTACACAGTAAATATAAAGAAATTATGGGAATTTTTTAATCAGAACAAAAAACACAATTAAACAGACCTATTAGACTAGTACTACAAATTTTAATGATCATATTCATTCTGCATAGTGAATTTGATGTATCCAATGTGTAGCAATATATATATATATATATACCGGTATATATAATATTTAAAACAGTTGAAATTTCCTCTTACCCTGCAGTTTCCATTTATTATTGATTTGTATTATTATTATTATTATTATCATTTTCATTATCATCATTAAGTTTCATCATCATTATCATAATCATGATTATATCATATCTTTATTGTAACCAAAAATCTACTAATTTATATCTAATATAATGATATTTATATGTCTATGGAATTATTTTTACCTTGTAAATTCACTTGCATCAGCTTCCAGCTGTATTGTTGATTATTCAAATAAAACCTTATCAAATCAAATCAAATATAAAATTTCACTGAATTTCACTGAATTCACTATCAGACAAAACAAAATTAAAACCAGGAATGGTAGTAAACTGAAAATCTAAAGCATTTCCATTTCAATTGTTTCAATTATTATTTCTGTAAAAGTGATAGAGGAATTTCAAAATTAAATTGTATGTATATGTTAGTATATATGTATGTTTGTATGTATGCGTGTTTATGTAGTATGTGTGTTTGTATGTATGCATGATCCGGAACACAATATAAACAGAAGGATACATTTATTTGGGGTATATAGACCTACAGAGGTGAGAGAACCAGACAGGGCACAGAAAGTGCCCCATTCAAATAAACAAACGCCCTTCACCCTGAGTAATAAAAAAGAGATATAATAAAATAAAAGAGCCTCTCCTGAGGTAAACTAACATGTAAATGATATCATTCAGCTGGTTAATACCCATTCAAGATTTAAAACAGATGTCTTGTATGTGTGGGCCTATATCTACTTTAGTGTGCCCTAGCTATTCAGATAAGGGGGAAGATTATAATCATGAAGTACCTACCAGCACATCTCATCTGCAGTTGGATTAAGACTTTGTTTGATATCAGGTTTAACAAAGGAAGTTAGTGTGAGGTCTAAGTTTTGCTTTATTAAATGAGCATCTTAGACCCAGGTTGGGTTTAAAGGGATAGTTGAGTTCTGTTGCAGAGGGCACTACTCAAAATAATTTTTTTGTGAGATAATGAAAAACCGGGTGTCAAATTTGAAAGAACATACAATTTAAATGACAAATTCGGTTCAGAGACGGCTGAAATATCCATTAATATAACCATTTCTAATACTTGTGTACCACCACAAATATTCAATAATTTGAAAAAGTTATTGAAAAAACTAAATGGCACCTTTTACGTCGTATTTCAGCCAATGCCGATGTTGGCTTTTTGTGTTTGTAATATTACGCACAACCAGCCGGCCCATGTATTGTTATTTTTAATTAATTAATTAATTAACGGTCACCATATCTTTATAAAATTGGAGCTGAATTGGTATGATCGTATTTTTCGGTCTAAAATTATCTTCATAGCAATTTTAGGTTCTAAAAGGGCACTAGAAATGTCAAAGATAAGAATAAGAGCAATAACCATCCACTTTGAAGGCATTCATTTGCGGTCTGAAAACAGAACTCAACTATCCCTTTAACCATCTATTCAGAATATGGACCATTTGTCTATATCCAACATGTCTACTAACTATCCAACCGGTCTAAACGTCAGATTATTTTATCTATTCTTATTCTACAAACTATTCAAAATCATTACAAATATTTACATCAATTTGAAGAAAAACAAACATACAGGGTATAATTTACAGATTGAGATCTAGAACAACAAAGTAATGAGAAAATGTGGTGGGGTGTACTGAGAAGCTTATAGCTTGTAAAATTTATACCCCCTGACTATCAGAGTGCGAAAGTACAAGGGGGGGGGGGGTATTTTACCGTTTCAAAATTGATAATAATCATTATTTTGAATATTTCCAAACAGGGATTTTAATGATCTCGTTCGATCTACCCTTCCCTTATGCAATGAAAGAAATTACATGAATATTTAATATAAATGCACCTCTGTTAATAGGGCAAACTGGCTTTTGATGATATGTTTTGTGGAAAAATGAGAATTTAGACGTAATAGGGGGAAAGCATTGACAAAAGAGAACAATGCCATGAAACTAGGTCTCTGTGAGGGACAATTAAAAGCAATTACCTTAATATGAAAGCTAGGATACCAGGTGCATGAAGTATGACTGATTTAATATTCCTGTTGATTGAATTGGATCACACAAACACAAGGTAGAACGTAGGGGATGGGGGGATGAGAATCTTCATGCTTGTTTGTTATTTGTATATGTCATATACAATAAATAAATACTAATCAAAATTGCACAATGTTGAATTGCAGCATCATAACTTTATCACTCGCACAGGAGGGACAGGCTTGCACAATTAGGGTGGCCAGGCGGACACAATTAAAGGGGCATTTATGTTCCACCCCTCAAAATATACCTAAACATATTATACACTGCGCCTCCTATGAGAAAATGTACCCCCTGCTATAAGCAAGAACTTTTTATTCTTTCCAGAATTCCGGACCCCCTCTTGACTGCACACTACAGGCAAGTTCGTAATGTTGCATTCATAAGAAATAAAATCAATGTGTGTAGTTTACCTATGGATAAAGTTTATTTGAATAAACAATGATCAAATTGAGATATGTGAAAATTTGATAATACAATCAGGTTTAACAACATTGAATTTATAAATTTGTTATAAAAGAAATGATTAGCAGTTTTACGATGCAGCCGCACATGTTTTTGACGGGGGGGGGGGGGGGGGGGGGGGGGGGGGGGGGGGGGGGGGGGGGGGGGGGGGGGAAGGGGGGAGGGGGGGGGAAGGAGATCAACAGAAATGAAGTGACAGAGTAATAGAAAGTGAAAGACTAATGATACATTATAGTTACATTTGCAGACCACTTATGTTTTTATGTGCTTTTTACATGTAATTGATTACATTTAATTGCCATTCAGGACATAGTATCGGTCCACTCCAATAAAAATCATTTCAACCATATACCTATCGCACATTCTAATCAAACGCACAACATTCACATTCATCTGGATACCCACCATACACACGGGTGAAGAGAAATTAGTAAAAGTTTGAGCAATATCCAATTAAAAATAGGAAAGTTATGAATATTTGAAGTTTTCATTTAGTGAAACACAAATTGGCAACACTGTGACATACAGGGGAAATGGGAGGGGGGGGGGGGCTTGCAGATTCGTCACAGAGTTGCTATAGTTTGTGTTGATTGCACTCTCAAAATTTCATAACTTTCTCTTTTTTAATCGTTTTTGGTTTTTGCTCATACGTTAACTGACCTGTTTCTCTCATTTCCTGCTTCAGTCTATTTAAATAAAATTTAATATGAGGGTGGACTTCCCCTTCAAGTGGGATCACTCCAATGACCTTGCATGTGTGTATGGTCAAGTCTTTTGGTCAAGTGCGTGTTTCAAACCACTCAAGTATGATAGAGAGAGAAGGGCATATAACATCTTTTTATTAATCAAAAGGGAGACATTTTAACCTACACATTTCCATCATTAGAGAAATATGCATAACTTTGGTCCTTTGTTGTCAATAATTAAACTCATGGGAGAGAAGCCTGAGCAAGGTTGTAATTAGTGTTCTAAATCTATATGTTGACATCATGTTTCTCAGCATTTAAGCTATTCCACATGGAATCAATTTGTACAATCGGTCCACAAAAATATCTTTACTTTAAAATGTCTTTAATAGTTAATAACCTTGATATCCTGAAATGTGCAAGAATATTTTGTTGAACTCTTTTTTTTCTTCTTCATATTTGATGAAAAAATGGAAAAAGACCCCCCCCCCCCCCCCCAAAAAAAAAAAAAAAAAAATATATATATATATATATATTTCTAACCTTAGGTGGATGGAGAAGATAAAATTAGCATTAAAAAGCATTTTCTGTGCTGTTTTTTGTTCCTCACTATTTTTCAACTAGTTGTAGACTATTTCGTTTTGACTAGTGAAAAAACTACCAATGGTATAATTATCCAGATACAGTAAATTGTACAAAGTAAAAGCTGAAGTTTTCCAGATTAGGCTCATGGGGCATCAATTCATTTAGTACATATAAACTGGTTTATTACAGCACATAACAAGAATATTATCTTTTTACTAACATAATCAGATCAGAGAGCTATAGAGAAAAGAGCAACATTGTGATACTTTAGAGAAAATCTTCTTGGAACATTATCCTTGACACCTAGTTCATCACTGAGCCCTTGCATGTTGCTAATTAATTTATGTCCTGGAAATCAAAGCAGCGATAGAAAAAATATTGCT